ACGCAGAGTGGCATTTATGAGCATTAATGAGCAGATGGCCTTGTGTTAGAGCTGGCCTCTTCCTCCTCCTCCTTCTCCTCTTCCACTTATTTTACACCGGCTTCTGTTTCATTCGCCTCCCCCTGACTGGATCTGATTACCCACAATCCCTAAATCCAGTGAGAGAAGCTTCCTGCCTCGCCTGAAAGTGCCAGCTTGCGATTTATAGCTCTTCTTCCTCCCTCTCTCTCTCTCACACACACCATGAAGCGATCCTTTCTGTGTATGGGTGGAGGTGCTGGCATGTTATGTGTTTTATGAGGGTCTGCACCGAGACCGCTTTGGTGATTTTGGGGGACCTGCAGGAGAAATGTGTGTGGGTGTCAGAGATCATTGTGAACCATGCCACGTACTGCGGCAGCTGGGCAGGACTTCAGCTCTGTGTTAAAATGATCCTCCACCCAAAGTCTAACTTCAGGGTATCAAAAATACGACCTTTATGAGCCTGAAAACCTGCCTGTAAAAAGTCTGCAGTCGGCTCCGTCGTGGAGGGCAACGACTGCGTCAGTGATCTGGTTTCAAGTATTGGTCGTCTCACTCTTTGCCACTGAAATGCATTTAAATTATCTTTTTAAATGCAAGTACAGTAAAGTCAGTACTGCAGCCAATCAGACGTGGTTAGAAAGTTAGAAATAAACTGCTTTAGTGAAAGATCACATATGAGAGGCGAGTATTTAAACACTCGGGTCTTTCTTCACTGCCACTCATTAATAACTGCACTTAATGGATCCTGTGTTGACTAATTAAATGATATCGTTTGATATACGATGTTGAATGACTCAGTGTTAGTTTTGTTTGGTTACAGAGAGGGCATCGTGTGTTTTCAGTGACCACCACAGAGCGCGACTAAAACAGCCTCAGTTCTGATCCTCGGTCAAAAAGTCGCCCACACAGCCGGCAGCGGCCCTCAGGAGAAACACAAGGTGGTTAAATGCAATTATTCACAGCCTCACACATCCATCACTCAGAGGGGGGAGCGCCACCACTTCATGAACTCAGATGTGAAAGTATAAAAGCAGACAAATTCTGAGGTAGAGATGCGCGGGCAGATGGGGTTTAGAGGTGGGGGCGGCACAGCGGTGAGGTGGTTAGCGCTGTCGCCTCACAGTCCAGGGTTGGAAACCAGTTTAGGGCTTTTCTGTGTTTTCATGTTCTCTCTGTGTTTACGTGGGTTCTGCAGACACTCCGAGAACATTGAATTTTCTTTTAATTCAAAGATCGTCTCGCATTCAGAGTCCTGTTTGATTTTTTACAGTTTCACAGTGGAAAAGTCGATATCGATATGTGTTTTTCACAAAGCGCTGCCAAGTCTAAGCGTTTTATTCCTTTGCAAAGTTTAAAAGTCTACCTTCAGGGTAACAATTAGCAGCTAATTAGCAGCTCAGAGGCAGTAAAACACTGAGAGAAAACAAACCCAGTGCTTAGAAGTGAAAGTCTTAAACTTCCCTGCCTGAGGGGCCCAAAAGAAAAAAAGAAACTCTTGTAGTTTAAAACAAGTTATTTAAGAGTAATAGTCAATTCTGTATGTAAGTATATTGGTAAGTATAACGTTAAGCATATAGTGGTCAGGCTGTCAGTGTTTGAGCTCTTTCATTGTAACCACCCTCATTTCCTATTTCGCAACATTGTAACCAGCTGAATTCTGAAGACAATGGAGCAAATAAAAAGCTGCAACATCGAACCTCAAAATATTCAGAACACGAAACCAATCAGAGAAGAGGACAATCAAGCAGTGCAGAGTGTACCTTGGAAAGCTCAGTGTGTCATTTACTCTATTTTAACAGACAGAAAAGCATCAGGTTGTTGAGACAACAGCTAAAGGTCACGGCTGCGGTCTGCGGTCTGTCCTCTCTGGCCTGGATGACTTCACGTGCTGCTGTTGCTGTCATGGAAAAAAATTACACAACTGAACGGTCGGCTTTATTTCTCTTTCAACTTTTCACATTCTGTGGTGAATTTTAAAAGTTTCACGAGCTCCGTTCCCCTTTGTTAAAAATGTTCCACAGTTTTGTCCAATATACAAGAAACAACAAATGATTGTTCTTGAAAAGCGAAAGGTGATGAAGACAAACACAAAGCAGATCCACGGCAGCGATACGACTCGTTGACAAAGTGACGGCATTGTGCGGCTCGGGACTTTCTGTAACGCCACTACAACGTTTGTGTTTACGCCTCGCTCTGTGCACCATGGCGCATGTTCTTCCTGCTAACCGACATCGTGCCGGACAAAAGAATTTCTGTATCCCAAATACATCAACAGACAGACAGAACACGTGAGATGAGACTGCATGCCGTGCAAAAACACAGGGAAGTATTCCCATTTATTTTGCAAGTTAGGATTAAAAATGGTCATCATTGGTTTTTAATTTAAAAAAAAACTTGAATGCATGTACAGAAACAAGGCACAGATCAAATGATGTGTTTACATGTGCTGCAGCAAGTACGCCAAAATCTGTTTTTATATGGAGCAACCATCTTTTTCATGTTTCTCTGCAGTTATTAAGCTTAATTATAACCTTTATGTTACTGGGAAATTAAATTTATAGAATGACTGATGACTGTGTCTCCATGGTGGAGCTGAAGAGAGTGCCAGATGAAATGCTACCTCATGATCCAGGTGATGGGACACCAGCAGCAGTGCAATGCAGACGCCGGCACTGAACCGGCTCTTCCTCCTCTTTTAAGAGCCAACTCACACTTGTGTAGCATTACAAGCTAAATTTGGGGATGATTTTTATGGGAAGGCATTCAGAGCGGACAGAATCTGTGGGCTGCATCTGCCAACATTTCTAAGTTTGGGCGCAACAGTGGCAGCTTTTGGAAAAGGCTGTGAAAATGAGTCATGGTGAAAATTTCCACTTGACATTTTGGCTGATAAATCATGTGATGTGGATCATAGAGATGTTTTGTGTGGTAGATGGTCAGGCCCTCGATGGTGACGACTATAGAGGTGCAACTTAAACCATCAGCAACACAGAAGGAATTAAACACAATCGGCTAATTAATGTTTCATTAATGTTTAACGCAAACAACAAAATCCCAGCTACTTAACTTTCTGCTTTCCCCGCAAACTTAAACCGGTTCAAGTTTAAAGGAAACATGTGTGCCTTGTTATCCCCAACGCCAATTAAGCGAACCAAACAAGGCTGTAAACTAAAGCCGGCTAATCCTAAGAAAACTGCAGCACTTTTGCCTGAAGCAGCAGACGGAGACTCACCTCTCCAGCACCATGTTTATTTCTTTCTGCTTCAGATACGAGCTCTAAACAGTCTTCAGAAATGTGGGGATTTCAGTTTCCAAACTCTCAACACATTTTAATATGCTCTGTCCTGTAGATGAAAACATGACACGCATAACGGAAGAAACAGAAATGTGAAACTAGAATTTTAAGCGACAGCTGATGAGCAAACTGTCACAGGAAAAGCTGATAGAGCCATTCTGGCTCAATAATCTCATATCAAAGCAATAATGTGTCTAACACACAGTGTACCACCCTTTATGTGCTCTTCATTTATTTGCTCGTATTTACAACTACTTTGCTGGCAACTAGGGATGCAACGATACCAATTTTTTCAAACCGATACGATACCGATACTTGGATCTGAGTACTTGCCGATACAGAGTACAAAAACCGATACTTCTACCACACACACACACACACACACACA